TAGAGAGAGTGGAAGAGGGAGAGAAAGACAGAGAGATATATGGATGTGAAAGAAACATATCAATTGGTTGCACTCACCCTGACCAGGGCCGGGGCCGGGGAGGAGCCTGCAAACAAGGTACGTGCCCCTGACTGGAATCGAACCCAGGACCCTTGGGCCTGCAGTCTGATGCTCTATCCACTGAGCCAAACCGTCAAGGGCCAGGTAGTTTTAATTGAGTAAATTTCCCCTTTAAGGAAACCTGCCCTATAGAATACCCTAATGTGGTTATGGACTATACTTTCCCTTTTGGGGGCAAGGAATTGAGTGATTATTATTATTATTTTTATGTTTGTATATTCTTTTTGGTTAATCCTCAATTGGGGATATTTTTCCATTGATTTTTAGGGAGCGTAGAAGAGAGAGGGAAAGTTAATGTGAGAGAAACACATCGATCAATTGTTTGCCTCCTGCAGGAGCTTTGATCAGGACCCAGTCCAGGGAGGAGCCTGCAACCATGGTACATGCCCTTGGTCAGAATTGAACTCAGACCCTGCCATCGGCAGGCCAAGGCATTATCCACTGAGCCAAACCGTCTATGGCAGGATATAACATTTCTTAGCCCTCCAGCAGCGGACCTTTGTTTTTTTTCGCCAGGAGTGTGGTGAAAAACCCTAGATCACCTTTTTGGATTCTTATTACCCACGTTACTAAGAATATTACCAGTGGCATACAGGGAGCTTAACCAATGAGTGGTCAGAAAAGGTGTTTCCTCTGTAGTTCACACCAATCGCCGGCTTGGCACCCCCCAACCCCCCTGCCCCAGGCCTGATGCCTCAACAAAAAGCGTCGACCCCCATCTCCCTCCCATCGCCGGCTCCTCCCTCGCCCAGGCCTGACGCCTTGGCCAGAGGCGTCAGCCCCCATCACCCTCAAATCACCAGATCAGCCCTTCGCCCAGGCCTGATGCCTGTGGCCCAGGCTTCAGGCTTGTGCAGGGGACCCCCATCTCCCCCTGATCACCGGCTCCGCCTCCTGTCCAGGCCTGATGCCTCTGGCCCAGGCATCAGGCCTAGGCAGGGGACCCCCCAGACCCCTCTGATTGCCAGCTCCGCCCCCTGCCCAGGCCTGATGCCTCTGCCAGGGGCGTTGACCTCCATCACCCTCCAATTGCTGGATTAGCCCCTTGCCCAGGCCTGACACCTCCACCAGAGGTGTCAGGCCTGGGCAGGGAATCCCCATCTCCCCCAATCACCGGCTTCTTGAGCTTCTGGGGCCGGCCTGTGGCCCAGGATGGCGGCTTGCTCTGGCGGATGCGCTGGCCAGCCCTGCCTGCATTATGCAAATTAGCCGCCATCTTTGTTGGCAGTTAATTTGCATATCACACTGATTAGCCAATGGGAGGTGTAGCGAAGGTATGGTCAATTACCATATTTATCTATTATTAGATAGGACTAGAGGCCCTGTGCACTAAATTCTTGCATGGGTAGGGTCCGTAGGCCTGGCCGGCAATCAGGGTCGATTGGGTCCTTCTTGCTGCCAGCCAGGGCCTTTCTTCATTCCGTGCCTCCCCCTGGTGGTCATCACATGTCGTAGTAAGCGATCTATCTCCCGGTCAAACTCCTGCGGGGACAATTTGCATAGTAGGCTTTTATATAATTACTAGAAGCCCGGTGCAGTAAAATTTGTGCACTCGGGGGGGAAGGGGGGGTCCCTCAGCCCAGCCTCTGCCCTCTCGCAGTCTGGGACCCCTCAAGAGATGACCACCTGCTGGCTTAGGCCCGCTCCCCGGGAGATTAGGCTTAAGATGGCAATCAGACATCCCTCTGGCAGCCCGGCAGCCCTTGGGGGATGTCCTGGCAGCCATCCTGGCTTGTGGCTGAGCAGAGCTCCCCATGTGGGAGTGCTCTGACCACCAGGGGGCAGCTCCTGCATTGAGTGTCTGCCGCCCCGTGGTCAGTGTGTGTCATAGTGACCAGTCATTCCCAGTCTTTCTGCTGTTAGGTTCAGTTTGCATATTACCCTGTTACTATATAGGATAGGGGCCTGGTGCACGAGTGGGGGCTGGCTGGTTTGCCCTTAAGGGTGTCCCGGATGAGGGTGGGGGTCCCGCTTGGGTGCCTGGCCAGCCTGGATGAGGGGATGATGGCTGTTTGCAGCTGGTCACATCCCCTTCAAGGTGGGGGTCCCCACTGGGGTGCCAGGCCAGTCTGGGTGAGGGGCTGAGGGTCGTTTTCAGGCTTTTGGGTGACTGAAGCTCCCAACCTCTCCTTTTTTTTTTTTTTTTCTGGGATTTTTTTACCTTCTATGGTTGTCCCTGG